CCGTGGGTACCCACTGTGCTGGGCCCCCCAGCAGGCCTCGAAAGTGGCGACAGTTTCACAGATCGCAGCCCCCCAGGGATGGCGAGGTCTAATTTGAGTCCGCGGTGTGTACCCACTGTGCTGGGCCCCCCAGCAGGCCTCGAAAGTGGCGACAGTTTCACAGATCGCAGCCCCCCAGGGATGGCGAGGTCAATTTGAATCCGCCGTGGGTACCCACTGTGCTGGGCCCCCCAGCAGGCCTCGAAAGTGGCGACAGTTTCACAGATCGCAGCCCCCCAGGGATGGCGAGGTCTAATTTGAATCCGCCCGTGGCCACTGTGCTGGGCCCCCCAGCAGGCCTCGAAAGTGGCGACAGTTTCACAGATCGCAGCCCCCCAGGGATGGCGAGGTACAATTTCAATCCGCCGTGTGTACCCACTGTGATGGGCCCCCCAGCAGGCCTCGAAAGTGGCGACAATTTCACAGATCGCAGCCCCCCAGGGATGGCGAGGTCCCATTTGAGTCCGCCGTGTGTACCCACTGTGCTGGGCCCCCCAGCAGGCCTCGAAAGTGGCGACAGTTTTACAGATCGCAGCCCCCCAGGGATGGCGAGGTCAAAGGCAGGGGGGAAGAGAGGGACGGGGAGGGGCGGGAAGGGAGGAGACGCGCGAGCAGTGCTCTATTCAAAACGAGAGCCCAACGCAGGAGGGTTGGGAACAAAACAATCCCAGCCAGAAGTATTCAAATAACATTCCGTGGAAACCACAAAAGGTTCTTAGAACATTGTTTGGTAGGCCACTAGGCACGCCAGGACGCTTCGCCACTGCTTGATTCTTGACGCCCTCGCGAGGCCCGGCGAGGGCCCGGGGAGGCCGAAAAAACTACTACCACCCCGCGGCTCCAACGTTTTCGGAGCGTCGGACCTCTGGGCGCAGCGGCGCTGGACCCCCCCTCCTTGAGCAGTTTCCGACCGTCCCAGCAGTCCTATAATTAGGCCCACCACGACATGCTCTCAGCACCCAGAAAGCTTCCAAGAACAATAACAGGTGTTCTCATAACACAAGCCCGACGATGTTTCAAAACAGGCCAGTCTCAGCCAAAGAGATCATAAGAACATGTCGTGCAGACCACAAACTCGGCGGTGGACAAACCTCCCTTTAGCAAACCACCCTTTAGTGAAAACGGCCTGGGACCGAAAGCGACGGACCTGGACCCGCAAACATGACGGCCGCGACGCCCTCTCGAGAACCGAAAACGGCCAATTCGCTAATCGACGTGTCAGGGCAGGAGGCCTCTCAATCTCCGACAAAAAGTTTTTAAACCATTCCTTTGCGGGATTATAGGCAAGACAGGACGCTAAGCCTCTGCTTGACCTCCCTTTGAGCAGGGACCGACCGTCCCGGGATTTCTGTAGGCCTACCATGAAATTTTCTTCGAACCCAGAAATGCTCGAATCACACAAATGATGTTCTTAGGACATGAGCCCGATGTGTTAGAACAAGACATGCAGCCCCAACCAGACATGTTCTGAGAACATGTCGTGGGCACCACAAACTGGCCATCGCTCGGACGTCCATTCCCTGTGCTTTGTTCGGTTTCGTGCGTGGTTTTGTTCGCCACATGATCAAGGATACTCCTCGATGGTCCCCGCCGAAGGAAAACATGCGCACGTCCGAGCGATGCCCAGCAACAGGCTCTCAGAACATCATTTGGTGGGCCGATCCACGAGCCAGGACGCTACGCCGCTGCTCGACCTCCCCGGCGCGCCCGATCCTCTCCCCCCGGCGGGGCCCTGTCCCTGCACGGGCGCCGGCGCACAGGCACTCGAGAGCTGGCGAAGACTGGGGGCGAGCCAGGCAGGGGATGCCGCAGAAGTGCGCTCTGGAGAAGCACGTTCTACGACTCGGGCGGGCCCGTCCTCGTACAAGCGGATCTTGGACGGAAAAAAAATACGCAACAAAAATAGAAAAGAGTCAAGCATACTAGAAACATCGCCCCCAGACGAATTTCTACTATTCTGGAAAATTCGTCCTGTAGCGGGACAAGCCCGACTTAAGACTGGGGGCGAGAAAGGCAGGGGATGCAGCAGAAATTCGATCTGGAGGAGCATGTTTTAGGACGAAGCCTGGACGAGGATAAAAATCTGGAGAGGACAGTCCGAAAATCGATGGCGGCTCTGGAAGATGTCTCGGGCGCCGCGGCCTTCTCCGAGCGTTCCGGAAAGCTTTGAGAGCGTTCCGGAACGCTCTGGAAGGGACTAATCCTCGTCCTAGTCCCATCCGAAACATGTTCGCCGACCAGGAGCACAAACATAACCGTCATCAGGTTGAGAAGATGGCACGACCGCGCATCAGGCGCGTACGTTTGCTGTCGTCCTCCTCGTCAAATCGAGGCACCACTTCGAGCAATACCGCTGGACCTAGGACATAATAACATCCTTCAAAGATGTGAGATCCTTCGCCGGCCAAAACACACAGAGCACATCCACGGGATTACCCTCCTCAGGATGCACAAGAACATCTAACAAACACGAAGAACAGTAATCGGGCTATCCTCACTGAACCGACCTCGATCTTCCACCTCGGTCCAACTGTAATGCGCCCCCCCCACCAATCCTTCTCCCCCTGGTCCTCCGCCGCGTACTGCCTCTCCCGCTCCGCTTCCTCCTCCACCCTCCTGCGCACCTCTCCGCCTCCTCATGGTTTCACCCCGGATGGGAAACGTGATGGACAAAGAGAACAAACGACACCACCCCACCTACGGCCCCGAGGGGCTTGGCGAACAAAAAACATGATATCTGGCCTGGCCTGGTGCGTGGTATATGCTACTGCCCCCGATGGGCCGTAGCGCAACATGGAGGGCCGTAGGTGGGGTGGTGTCGCGTGCTTTTGTTGGGTCGATGTCAGGCGTGCGGCTCACCAGGGCGCCCGAAGTTTTCTGGCTCGGAACCAATACAATTCCACAGTTCGGTCACAGATGCGGTCAAATTATACGACTTCGGTCAGCACTTCGGGCACGCTCTTCGGCCATGAGAAATGTGAGGCGTGCGGCTCACCAAAGAAGGACGAACATATAGAATAAACAAACACGCCATAAGCTCAAACTTTTGGCGCTTCGCGCGGATTTCTAGGATCTGCGCGGGACCCCCCTCCCTGGCGCGCGGAGCGCGCCAAGGGCACCGCAAGAGGCGCCGCCGGGGAGGCCCCAGTGCGGATCCAACAAACCCGCGCGGAGCACCAACAGCTATGTTGATAGCGCTTTCTCTTCTTCGAGAGCAGAGAAGCCCGCCGAGAGCACCCTGGCACCACGGACACAGCACCTGCAGTCAGCTCCTCACGGCGGGTGCTGCCAAAACCTCGCATGATCGCACGGCTACGCTTAGGTCGGGATGTCCCCCTACATGCGTATTTTGGGCGAAAAATAAAGAATAGCCCCAAAATAATGAAAACATCGTGCCCTGACTATTGTTTGACTACTTTGAAAGTTCATCCTGTAGAGGGACATTCTCGACTTCAGACAGGGCCACGTCGTCCGACGGACGCTCTCCCACCGAGGCACACACACACTCACACACACACGGTATGCCCGGCGTGTCGGCTGCCAGTGACGAAGCATGCATGATGGCCTTTTCTGGAAGTGAATGCGACGTATGGTGTGTGTGTGTGTGTGTGTTTTCTTTCTCTCTTCTCTCTCTCTCTGCTCCCTTTGTAGAGGGCGGAAGATCCACCCCGATAATAACCACCCTGACATGATGGCCTCCTCTGGAAAGAGTGCGATACAGTGGTTTTCGAAAAAAGAAAAGAACGCCCATCTCGAATGCGCGTTGAAGCGGGTCTAACCTCGGGGCCCCAATTTCAAAATTCGGGGCGGGCGACCCGGTGGAGTGCGAGTCGCTTCGAGCAGAAAAGGCCCACATCTGCAAACCGTGGCCTGCTCCCCTGGATGAACATTGAAACTGGGGGCGCGGGGGGCGCTCTTGCGCCATCTTCTGGGCGTTGTACTTGGGCGTTTTTGTTCGAAGACGCTGGTATGTGGTGTCCCGTGGTGGCCCGTGGTGGCCCGTGGTGTCTCGTGGTGTCCCGTTGAGTGAGATCGATAGTGAAATCGATTGAGTCAGATGTTGGTTCCCCTTACCCCCCCCCCACCACAACCTCCTTATCACCCGAAGGGTGGTCGTATAGTCACTTGGGCGTTTTCTTCGAACACGCCAGTATGTGGTGTGCTTTCTTCTTCTCTCTCTCTCTCTCTCTCTGTCCCCTTGCACCCGAGAGGGGCGTCTGCATCCCCCCTCGACCCGCTGTGCGGCCCGCGCCGTGCTGCCCCTCCTGCGCACCGCACGCCACGCGCCCAGTGCCGTACTCCAATTCCGTATTCATAGCCCCCTTCGACTCCAATTCGACTCCAGTTCGACTCCAGTTCGACTCACGTTCCGCTGAGGTTCGACTCGGGTCGGGCTCAGGCTCGACTCGGGTCTGGACGGGCGGCGCAGCTTCGACGCACGAGCGGAGCGATTGGCTCCAAACAAGTCTCCAAAATAGGCATCTACTCCTAATCCCTTATTCAACGTCTCCCGGGTCAGGTTGGGGGGTCCGGTTTATCAGGGCGCTTCCTTTGGATTGGAGCTCAGGGGGTCCAATTGATCAAAAGGCGCCCCGTCGAAGAGGGGGGTCCGGAATATTAGGTCGCATTCGGAGGGAGTTCTGGAATTTTAGAGGGGGTCGATTGATAAGGGATGTGGAGTACACTCCAGTGCGCCGCTCGCGCAGAATGCAGCGCGGTGTGTGCATGTGTGCGTGTGGGTATGTGTGTGTGTGTGTTCGAACTCCGTGCGCAACCCCCATGTGGCCATGTGCTCTCTCAAATCATCCACCTTGGAAAGGGGCATCGAGAATATCAGACACGGCAGACAGAGCTCGAGCTCGAGCGACATCTACAAAGAACATCGAAACACGAAATTGCTTGGAGATTGACAGTGCTTGTGTCAAGCGTGCAGCACGATCTTTATTTCTGCAAGAAGGGTCCTTGAAGCGCACAGCGTCACCTCTCTCGTTCTCCAAATGTTGGTGCGGCTGCGAGTTGTCCTGCCCCTCCCACACGCCCGTACAGAGGCGCTGATCACTGGAATATTCAAACAACGAGTGAGGCTAGGCCTCGCGTGCACGAGGAAACATGACAGATGGCGACAAACAAAGCTAACAAGTCGTTTCTAACCTCACTATGCCCAACATGTACCTCAACCGACAACTCCGACACTCCCTCGGAAATCCCGGCTTCAGATTGCCATTGCCGACATTTCTGCTGCAGAACTTCGACGGATGAATGACCGCCCCCGGCTGGGAAATCTCGATCTCTGCACCCTGGCCGTAAAACATCCACCATGGAAACGAGCATATGGTCTTTGTGCACAACCAGCGCATCAATCGCGTGTGTGCACCACAGCATGTAAGTAGGGGGGGGTCCAGGCCCCCCCCCCCCGTGCGATCGTTAGCATGACCCGAGGTGCTCAGAGATCCGACGCTCCCAAAATATTGGAGAGGCTGGATTTTGCCAGCTTTCGGTCTCCAGGGGCCCTCACCAGGCCTCGGGAGCGTGAACAACACTAGGGGAACAAAAAGTGGCATAAACATAAAAACTCGGAGCTCCGCGCGGATTTCTCGGATCCGCGCTGACCCCCCTCCCTGGCGCGCGGAGCGCGCCAGGGGCGGCGCCGGAGGCGCCGCCAGAGGGGTCCAGCGCGGATCTGAGAAATCCGCGCGGAGCTTTGAGATTTTATGTTTATGCCACTTTTTGTTCCCCTAACCAAGCCTCGGGAGCGTGAACAAAATGACTCAGGAGGAAGAACCGCCCCCAGAGAAGCGGTCTGGATGTCTGGTTTCGGGGGTGGGGGTTTGACCCGGATAACGAGCGCTTCCCTGGGGAGGAACAAAAACGCTCACCTTCTGACTGCTTGCGCATCTCCATCCCTGGCAGTGACGCAACCACGGAAACGAGCACATGCTCCTCACGCTTGCAGATCGCGGCCCCGCACCCGGTCCGTGAAACCATCATAGGGACCTACATAATTTTGTCAGCCGCTTCCTCGAGCCTTGGGTGCCAAGACCGGGGAGGGGCGGGAGACATGCTTTTATGAGCCTGCCTTTTGAAATGCGCGCTCACTCCCGTGACCCGACCCCCCCTCCCCTTGATCACGTCACGATTCGCGCTGGCACCGTCTTGGAACGAGCCATTCCTAGACATTCCCAGACGGCGCCGCGAGAATCGTATCGTGACCGGCCCCCTCCCCACCTTCCCCCTTCCCCTCCCCCGGTCACGCCCGTTTTCGCAAGAGGACAAAAACAGGTGTTTGATTTGTGCATGTTATTAACACATCCACGCATGGACGCGCCCATCTCGTAGCGTCGCCAACTTGCGGCAGTCACACACACGAGTTTGTAGGCATGTTGTGCGACCCTCTCTCGGGGGCCCTCGGGGCTGGTGTGACCCCGTGTTGCCCCCGTCACCCAACGGGGCTACGTGGTCCCCGTGTTCGTCCTGACCGCCGCTCCAGTATACAGCCCTTGTGACGCGAACAGAATGGACGGCGCCATATGGGGGGGTGCATCTGACAGCTGTGGGCGACGATCGAAAACGGCCCTCACGCGAGATGACAGAGCGACCTTACGCGGTGGCGTACGCGGGCCGCCAGCGTGGCACGCTGGTTTGGAGAAGAGGGCGCTTCCGCGCGACCTTACTCGGGCAACTTACGCGCCAATGTCGGTGCAGACGACCCCCTGTTGTTGCGTCGCCCATGTGGAAACACGTCAATACAGGCATCCAGGTGCCCAACTCCTCGGCGCGCTGGGGCCTGCAGATCTCGATCCCCCACATCCCGAGCATCGTTCTATGGGCCGCCTGCTCCTCTTGTGAGGAGGAGGAGGAGGAGGAGGAGGAGGAAGAGGAGGAGGAGGAAGAGGACTTGGAGGGTGAGGAGGATGAGGAGGAGGAGGAGGAGGAGTTGGAAGAGGAGGAGGAGGAGGAGGAGGAGGAGGAGGAGGAGGAGGAGGAGGAGGAGGAGAGGAGGAGGAGGAGGAGGCAGGAGGAGGATGAGGAGGAGGAGGAGGAGGAGGAGGAGGAGGAGGTGGAGGAGGAGGAGGAGGATGAGGCGGAGGAGGAGGAGGAGGAGGAGGAGGAGGAGGGGGAGGAGGAGCGCAGAGACGCCCATGACTCCAGCAGGCGGACTCGCCGTCGAACACTGCGGGACCAGGACGATGGAGCTTCCGGGGCCGACCCGATCTCTCCTCGCACGCCACGATCCCCATCAGGCGGGCCCCACCCTCCTCCTCCTCTCCTCCCTCCTCTCTCCTCCTCCTCCTCCCCTCCTCCTCCTCCTCCTCCTCCGCTCCCTCCTCCTCTCTCCTCCTCCTCCTCCTCCTCCTCCTCCTCCTCCTCATCCTCCTCCTCCTCCTCCTCCTCCTCCTCCTCCTCCCGCCCGAGCACAGTGAAAATGGCCCGCGCTTCCGGGGTCACGGTCCCTCGCCAAAAACAGCGAGGCCGCGTTCACGAGCTTCCAAGGCGACCCAGGCGGCAGCCGAGGCCGTCTAGATGGCCCAAGATACCTCCAAGACGCCCCAAGGCGGCCTAAGATGTCTTCAAGACTGTCAAATATTCTTCCAGGGAAGCCCAAGAAGACCATAAGACCCCCAACAGGGTCCAATGATAGCCGAAAGCATAATGTTTCACAAACGTGCTTGAAACATGTCTATACCACGCATCGCCCCCAGGATGGCCCCAAGATAACCCAGCAGGGTCCCAAGGCGGCACAATGAGGACCCCACGATGGCCAAAGAAGCATCTGAGACGGCCCAAGACGGCCCAAAAAAGCATCCGGAGAGACCCGAGCCGGCCTTAGAGGGCCCTCCGTCTGCCCAAGACACCCCCGTACGCCCAAGGGGGCGTGTTGGCCCAAAGACGGCGTAAGAGGGCCCCAAGACGGCCCAAGAGGGCCCCAAGACCGGACCTCAGGAGCCCAAGACAACATCAAGACGGCCTACACTGACAGCTCCTCACGAAGTGAAGACGAACATGTATCACATTTGCCAGGCTTCCCTTTTTCCTCCTCCTGCTCCTCCTTCTCCTGCTCCTCCTCGTCTTCATCATCCTCATCCTCATCACGGCCTCCGGACCTCTCCGGGGCCCCCAGACTGGCGGCAGGCCCAACTGCATCCCAGAGCTGAAGTTTTGGATGCCTTCTGGCCTCCTGCGCATCCTTCAAGCGCCCCCTGGGGCCGTCATGTCGGGGCTGTCTTGGGGCCGCCTGGGGCAGCTTGGGGTATCCTGCTCCTCCTGCTTCTGCTCCTGCTCCTGCTCCTGCTCCTGATCCTGCTCCTGCTCCTGCTCCTGCTCCTGCTCCTGCTCCTGCTCCTGCTCCTGCTCCTGCTCCTGCTCCTGCTCCTGCTCCTGCTCCTGCTCCTGCTCCTGCTCCTCCTCCTCCTCCTCCTCCTCCTCCTCCTCCTCCTCCCCCCTTATTCCTCCCCCTATTTCTGCTTTTCGCTCTGCTCCTCCTCCTCCTCCTCCTCCTCCTGCTGCTGCTGGCGCCCTTTCTTGGGGGCTCCTTGTGGGGGGGGCGCACGGCGAGCAGCCTGCCGAGCCGCGAACAAGACCCGGGGTATCCGATGCTCTACGTTTCCTCGTGGCCCAAAGGGGGGTCCAGCTGCAAACGGGTGATGCAGTAGGTTTTGGACAGCTGCACTGCGCACGTCCTGCGCCAGATAACTGTACTGCACTGTACTGCAACGGATGCATTGCACGCGAAAACCCAGCAATACACTTGCGCACCGGTAAGTACTGCACACCCCCAGATCTACTGCAAACACAAAATATACTGCACCACATCTATTGCACCACCCCCTTTTCGTTGGACCCCCTTTTGGGTCAACCAGAACATTGGAGCCCAGTCCAAAAGAAACCTTCCACAAGAAATCCAACCCTGGGACTCGGAAGCTGGGCAAAGGCTGGCAAATCCGTGGCTGCTAAAACGGTTTCCCAGGAAGAAATAGCAAACTCCCGGGATACAGCTCAACGCACTAAGTAATAAACGGGCTGTTTACCGGAAAACAATCAAATTCCTGGAGTTCCGTTTTAGCAGCCACGGGTTAGCCAGCCTTCGCCTGGCTTCTGAGAGACCCCAAGACGTCTATGGATTGTTGGTGTTGAAACGTCACGCTTCCCGCAGCAAAAACCGTCGAAACCCAAAACACCCAGCACACCCTTGAAGTAAGCAGAGTTTTTCTTGGCATGGGTCTCCACTGCATGCATTGGGGAGCGTGTTGCCTTGGTGCAGCTAGTAGACGTACTGATGCAATCACATCCCTCCTGCCGGTCCCCTTGAAGCTGACTGCTGAATCACGAGGAGAAGGGGGAATGGGAAGGGGGAGCCCGGAAACAGGTCAAGAAGGATAAAAGGATGAGGGTATTAGACCTGTGTGAACCCAGGACGCGTCAACGATGTTGCAAACAAAAAAAAACGCCCTCAAAGTCCCACCAACCCTATGAACGCAGGTGGTTTAACCAATTGTGCCTAATCTCTGCCGAAACTCCCTCCTTGTCCCTGCTCGGGGGGGGGGGGTATCCTTACTTCCTATGATGAAACACCCCCACATCCCCACCCATCAGGGCGATAACAACTCCGCCGCCCTAACTGTCGAACAGCATCGCAAACTCATTTTTTCTTGTCGCCAACATGTCGTCGAATTGCGAAACGTGTAGCAGGACTGGGACGGAACGGGCATCGCCTGGGTAACCCTAGGCGGGTGGTCGCGCCCTGCCCAACAACAAACAATACAATGTCAATGTGTTTTTCGTCAACGTGGACGGTCGTGTCGTCGGCGCTGCGAATAGTGTAGCAGGAACGGGACGCGGCGCACATCGCGCGCGGACGCCTGGCAAACCCTGCGCGGCCCCCCCCCCGTCCTACCTGCCAAAAGAACACAACAACGTCGACGTTTTCCATTCCAGCATGAATGTTCTCCTCGTCGGCGTTGCGAATCGCGCAGCGGGAATGGGACGCGGCGCACATCGCGCGGGAACGCCAGCTCGTCAACAT